TTTTAAATTATTGAAGCTTTTATTACTTTAATAATTAAGAAAATCCTAAGTAATCGTTTTTCTTAATATGTCAATTAATAGTACAATATTTTGTATATTTATTTGCAATATTTTATAATAGGAAAATTATTGTTTTTTTCTAAAAATTTGATGAAATAAATTTCATGTAAAATATATACATTTTCAGTTTATAAGTGATTCATTAATTCATTGTAAAGGTCTACTTTTGAAATGAAATATCTCTGATTTATTTGTTTATTCAGATAATGAAAAAAATGGGAACGTTATAGATTACTAAATGAGTGTTTAAAGTATATTTTGTATTATCAAAATAATATTATTAAGCAATTGGAAACTGATTTATTATGCAATTACTGTTCAGTAATTAGGTTAAAAAAGTTTCGTGTGAAAGTTACAATTTATAGATGATTCATTCATTCATTGTTTTCAAATTTTAAACTGATTTATTAATGAAAACAATGGAAACGTAGTAAATTATGTTTATTTAAATCATATTTTTTTCGATGTGTTTGCAAATCTCTTATAATAAACGTTTGGAAAGTGATTGACGATGCAATTACTTCATAGTAATTAGATCTTATGAATTCCATTAATTGTAGAGAGGCCTGAAGGGCTGTAACCTATATTCACAATAATAGAGATCAAACTGTACCGACGAAGGTCAGACGTTTAATGCATAGATTCCTCACTGCCTGCTCTCTATCCACTCTATGATTCATCCCATTCGAAAACCGAATAAACGCATTCACGAGAATTGATTCTCATATAAGCATATTTTCATTTAAAATTACGTAAGACAATTTACATTTACTGCTATATTTACAACAGTTTTATCTGCAATTTTCAATTAAAACGTATTAAGTTTTACATAAAACAATTTTATTATAGAGTCTCAAGACATTTATTTGAGAAAGTATAGATTTATACCATTTGTAAACTAAATAATTGCATTTTCAAGTACAAAAATTATGATTTTCAAAATTACGCAAAAAAATGTGTTTATCGTATTAAAGCAGTTTTATTTGATAGTTTTATCTTAAAATTTTGTAAAAAAACGTTAAATAATGCAGTTTTATTTGTTTCTTAAAACTGTTTGCAGTATTAAGATTATTCAAATTACTCGATTGAATTTAAATCGCAATTATTGTGAATTGCTTTGTGAAATGTCACTTGTCTCGTAAATTCTGCGTTTCTTTCTTTGTTTCTACGTATCTTTATTTCTTTCAGTGACAGAACGAAAACAAAACATTGGAAAACAAAGGCAATTAATCACAATTCATTGAAATTATGAATATTTATTACTTGCGCTTTTTTAAAGTTCAATAGATTTTTTCACAACTTTAACAAAATTATTCAATAATTAGTGATTTAAATACTAAATTTAAATGAACTTTATTGTAGTAAATGTAGTTTTATTTTATTAATTGTCTAGTTTCTTAAGGAAATATCCAAAATATGTGTTAAATTGATTGAAAATACATTAAAAATAACTCTTTTTTTTAAATTTTTGTCTTGTAATTTCGTCTATTTAAATTTTATAGAATTGATTTAAAAAATTATAAAATTATTATACTAAAAGATGGAAAGTTTAAAAGTTTTGTTTTATATATATATATTTAAACCTCACCCAAATTTTATACGAAGATTGATTGATTGATGTGTATCAAGTATATTCATGTTTTTTAAAACTCTGCAGTTGCTGAGATATCTATTAATATTTATTGAGTTATTGATGATTGAAACATTTTTATAGTTATTTTTAGTATCAAATCTATTGCAAACTTCAAGGATTTCTACCAGATATAACCATAAATCAAAATTGAATTTAGTTGGCTTCACATCTGTTAAAAGTTTAATTTAACTTAGATTTGTTAACTTTAAACAGATATTTTATGTAAATGTATAAAAAAAGTAATGAAAATAAAATCTGCAAAAGATATTTCTTAATGATTGAAGTTTTTTTTTATAGAAGCAAATGTTTGCATTTATTAAATTCAAAGATCTTTTTCTTAAAGTTTTGTTTTAGATAGATTTGTGTCCTTTAAAATGTTTGTTTTTGTAGGTGTATAATAAATGTTTTGATAATAATGAAGATGTTGAAATAATTATTCATAATTATTAACTTATTGATGATTCAACTAGTTAAAATAGTACAGTTATTTATAGAATTAAGTGCAAATATCTTCAAGGATCTTTTTGTAAAAGTTCATAACAAGAGATTTTTAAAGGTTTATTGCGAAAAAAAGAAATTGAGTTAGATTGTTTCAATACGTTTAATTTTTAGTGCATTTATGACCTTTAAGAAGTATTTTTTTTTGTATGTAGATTTCTAATTTCAAGTGTTTATTTTTAAAGGTTTATTGAAATAAATCGAAATTGCGTTTGGTTCTTTCAATACGTTTAATTTTTAGTGCATTTATGACCATTAAAATGTATTTTTAGAGGTTTATTGCGATAAAACGATTGTTGAGGTTGATTGTTTCAATACTTTTAATTTTTAGTGCATTTATGACCTTTAAGAAGTTTTTCTGTAGGAGTCTAACAAATAATTTGTAGGTGTTGCAAAAAAGTAATTTATTTCAAATAATAGAATTTCTGAGATTTACCATTAATTTAAGTTTAATAAGTAAGACATTTTGAAATTTTAAAGAATTGAATGAAAGTAAATTAGGTTTTGTCGTCTTAAAATGTTTATTTGTGACCTTTAAGTAGTTTTTTTTATAATAAACGTTGTGAAAATAGTTTCTAAATGCCGCTTAAAACTAATATAAATGACACATTTATTGAGTTATTACGTGTAATGGCATCCATTTGAAGTCCACATACAAAGACCGGGCTTCATTACAGAAACGTGACTAAGAACGTGCATGAATAATACACAGAATATATAGGTTTCGGATAATCGAACAGAACCGAACCACCTTTTCACCCGCAAGTTCCTTCAAGATGTGTTCACTTAAAAACGGTTACTTAATAATGCGAAAAGGCATTTAAAGGCATGTTTATGTCAGAAGGGAAAATGCCAGGCGTCGTGTAAATTAATGGAAATACCGAAACTTTCGATCGTACCGAATGCAATCGGTTGCGTGCGTTTCCTTCGTAGTTATGACGTATCCGTTTCGGATAGATAAGAGAGACTTGCGTCACCGAAATATCAGGTTTCCTAAGAAATTTTCTAAGGGATTCCCTCGAATCATAGACGCATCTTCTTACTCAACCGAATGCATTAGAAATCATGATACAAGTCTATATAAATATACATGATTTGATAACAACTGTTGATAAAACTATTAACAAATATTTGTTTTGAATGCCAATGACCGTCGTTGTAGAAAATTCAACTCAATATGTAATATTCTTCAATTGAATTTAACCTTCTTTCTAAAATAATTCATGATTTCGATTCGAGTGAAAATATCTTATAGGCGGAAACTATCTTCGTGACGTGCGAACATTTTGTATTAAACATTTGCACGAAGCTTATGTGCTTATTATTCTAAAGAGATTCTATTTTCGCGATGTAATATATTCATAGATCGACCTCGAGTTTTTTTTTTCGCTTTTTATTTTGTTATTTATTTTAAAGAAATTTTTGTCGGTACAATCTTTTTACATTTTTACCGTCGAATTATTTTTATAACGTTTTCTCTTTGTTTACATTACACGATTCAATTCCTCCAAAAACACTTTCAATAGAAATTTCAACAAAACGTACGAAAATAATTTGTAGCAATTTGATCTTATTCATACTTATTTCTATACATTGAATTATGGTTTTAATCTTCCCAATTTCACACAAAAAAAATTTCAATTATTTTTAATTAATTTCTATATTTTTATTCAATTAAAGAATTGTAGGTCAGTAATTTGCAAATTGCTAAAAAATATAATAATTTTGGAATAGAAATTCACTAAATTGGTGATTTTCATTAATGGTTTGACACGAATTTTCCACGAATTGCGTAAATGTTAATGATTTCCAATGAACGCGTTTAGTGTAATTGGATATGCGAATTTTTAGTGCACTTTCACTGAAATTTGCAAGAACGAGTTTTGGTAGGAAAATTTTCCGAACGCGACCACTTACACCATTCCTAATTTTAGACGTTCGATTCCATGCGCAAACTTATCTACATACAGTAACAAAACAACATTATGCATGCAATATTTGTTAATAAACTCAATGTCAATAAGATCTATATCATTTAGAACACGTTTATTTCTTAATTTTTAAATCTTAAGATTCATTAATTTTTTACGAAATGAAAATATTTTCATATTAATTCATATTTATTTATAAACAAAATTGATTAACTGTTATCGATTAAACATATAATCTTATCAAATTTGTTCCTGTGACGAAATATAATTTTACAATTTATTTAATTTATTAATAAACTTGCGAAACTTTCCGATTTATTTTTTATTTTTAAAAGGCGCGTTATATTTAAATTTATTTATTGCATTCACATAATCTTTCTATTTGTTTTCTTTTTCTTTTCACTCGTTTTTCCCGTCTTCAGCTCCGATAAAATTGTCCTGAAGGTTGGCGATCAACGACCTTTCAGATCGCATCGTGGGCGGAAATTTATGGCGATTAATCTGAAAATATTTTCACGCGCATTTTTCTCTCTCTTTCTTCCTATCTTTTAGCTTTTTCTTTTTGTATTTCCGATTCAGAATCAAAGGGAAATGGTGTATTTTTATATTATGCGTTGATATTATTACGATTTTTCCTTGTGGCGAAGGTTAAAGTCGCCGTTTATTATCCGTACGAGTTATATCAAATAAAAAGGGAAATTATGCCAACAAAACACAAGAGGATGCGCTTTTACTCGTTAATTGGTTTATCATTAAAGGTCTTTTGGGTAATTAAGGCTTGATAAAGGCGCGCCCTGCGATTGGTTGTGGTTTTTGTGGAGGGGCGCTCGGTTGGTTCTGGGTGTGCATGGAACAATAAAAAGAACGCCGCCTCGGGTTGGTCTTAAATAGAGGCGAGCCGGTTTGTTGGCGTTTATTATCCGCGTCTCGACGGTCGTGTCGTGTCGTTTCGTGTCTTCTCTTGGTCGTGGGTGTCTTTTGTGCAGCACCAGAAGCAGCAGTGAGAGTGTTGGTTCACCTTTGTTCATAGCCATCACCATGCATCACTTCGACGTGCAAAGGAACGTAGACGATGATGGTCTGAGCGTGTCCAGCGGGGACAGCGGCTACGACAAGACCTCTACCACCAGCTTAAACTCCGATGGTACTCCTACCTACGCATCCTACCGCAAGTACCTGGACAGCTACGGCAAGAAAGAGTTCCGCTCAGTGCGTCCCCCCAAAATCGAGACGAATTTGAAGAGCGAGATCTTCATAAACCTCGAGAATTCAGACCAGACTGACCACAGACCTATAAACATCACCATCAATTTGAACGGTGAAGGCATCAAAGTGGATAAGAACGAGTGCACCATCAACGTGATGAACAAACCCAGCGAGGAGCCGAGCAAAACCGGACACGTGGCGAACATGAGCAAGAACGTCTTCAACGCGAAGCCCAGCTTCGTTAAACCAACCCCAAAACCAGTTGTGCAAAAAATCCATTTAGAAAACACCCTCAAAGCTCTGCAACAAAAACCGATACACACAACCAAAATCGAGGAAACCCCGATTAAGCACATCCAAGTGAAAGTTGAAGAGTCAGCAGTTAAAAAACCAATTCACCTAGCCCAAATCCAGGATTCTCCCGTTCAATCTCTAAAACCCATTGACGCTTCGGTGCCTCCACCACCACCACCGATGATGATGATGGCTCAAGCTGCTCCTAAGATACAACTGCAACAGAAACAACCACAACCGAAGTTACAGAAACCTAATCTGACACCGAAAACAGCCACCGATGAGCTTAAAGATTCCGTGATCAACGAGATCAAAACGTTCGGAAGATCATCGTTGCGCAAGAGAAGCGAAGCTTACGTGCCTCAAAACAATTACCAGTTCACCAGAAGCTTCGCAAACGAATCTCGAAACAACTACAACACATTACCCAAAGGCTGGAAAACCAATAAACCGGAACCTAAAACTCCCGAAGAAAAAACCGTGCCTCCTACAACAGACGTAAACAAGGATGATCCGAACATGAAGAAACTTGTCTACAACCATTACAGAAATATGCTAGGAGCGTACAACGCAAAGGCCAACAATTTCATATCAACTCTGCCGAGGCACAGGGTCGTCGAGGATAAAGGAATCAGCGAGCAACTCCAGAGCATTGCGTAAGTCTGCAATTACACACACATTCTTCAAATAACTAATCGTATATTAAAATTTACAGATTACAAGGAGGATTGGATCATCTGAACGGAAGAGTCAAAGAAGCATCCGATAATAACAATTAAGAGTGTTCCCCAATTTTTTTTATATTAATATTTGTGATATATTTAAGTTTAATTTGTATATGTTTTTTTTATATAAATATTATATTACTCGTAAGATATTTCATTCTTTTATTTTGTTTTTGTTTTGTCCCTTGCGTGAGATTCTTCGTGTTCGGATTAGCGTGAAAATGAAAGAGGAAACTGCTAAGGTCTGAGACGGAAATGGCACGGTTGAATTTCGCTGACATTGAAATGCTCATCATCATTATCGTTTGCATCCAAGAATAAAACAAATGAGCGACAGCAACATTTTTTTTTGTCATGTTTGTCGTTTCATATTTTTTTTTTCTGTTACGAAAGTGACATTGAAGAACTCGAAACATCGACGATTGTTTTGGAATGTTCGCACGTATCAATAATAATACGTTGAGAAAATCAAACATCTGTAGTTGCGAGTTATTGGATTCAATTAACGTAATTTGAATGTCAACATGTCGATTAAAAAGATGATGGAAATTGTACGATGTCTTCAATTGAGCTTCAATTGATCGACATTAATGCAATGTATGGACGAAGTATAATTTATGAATTACTATACATAAATGTTTGATACACATTAATTTATTTTGTAAATTTATAATAATAAATGTTAATAAATATTTGTTATTCTAGCAAAACATCTCCTTTTTTTATAAGTTATTTTTAGAAATTGAATTATTGTTACAAAAATAGAGACATGAAATAACTTAATTTCATTATTTATAATTATTTCAAATATTTGTAATAAATGATAAAATATTGAAGAAAATTGTTATTAAATATAATATTTGGAATTTTATAATTTAATAACATGACTAAAAGAAAAGTTTGACTAATTTTCTTGAAAAAAAATGAGCAACAAAAAAATACAGTACAAATACAGTAATAAGTAAGCGTTGAACGAATGTAATTAAAAAAAAAACAATTAATGAGGAAAGGAAATAACAAAACATTGTTTTTAAATATTTGTATACATTTGAGAGTAAAAAACAAATGTGTGACATTTCTTTGTTAACCACTTTATTGCGCGTCTCTATAATCTCCGTAGTCATGCAAAAAGCACGAAGATTTGAGAAAATGTGCATGACTCTTTTTTCTTTACACATCAAATTTTGAAAATGTGTGTATTACAGATTTTGATTTTATGACTTGAACTGACTAAAACTTCATATTTTCACATCAAATTTGAAAAAGTGTGCATCACAGATTTTTGATTTACTATCATACCTAAAACCTCTAAATTTTCACAATTCAATGTTTACATCAAATTTAAGAAAATATTTGTAACAGATTACTTTTACCAATTTTACATAACAATATAAACAAAATACAAAAGGAATAGCGTAATCAAAATAAAACAAAGATGTAATATGCATACGACTATAAAGTTGGAAGAGAAATTGCGGGATATTTCGTGGAAGTATCAATGTTAACAACATGAAAACAATCGTTTAGTCATGTTATTCAAAACGGAATCGTGCTTAGAAATTTTAAAAGCGGAAATATACGAATCAACCTTGAGGTTAACAATTTATTTATAATGTGATGTTAATCTCATCTTCGATTATTAATACAAAACAAAAATAAACAGAATTATTTGATATTATTTCAATAAAACTTATTTATTAATTAATAATGAAAATATATTATAGTTATTTAACAAAAGTATATAAATGTGCGTACACACTACTTGCAACTTGCATATTAATAATAAAGAGACAAACAAGTTTCTTAGAAATTCTTGAATAGTCAAAGTTTATCAAGTACTTCATGTATGACAACTTACTATAGTTAAGCAAAGGATGACGAAGATAATACTTGAATGGTTTATAATACTACTACTTAATCTATATAGAAGCGTAATTAGTATACATTTGAGAGTATCAAACAAATGTGTGACATTTCTTTATGGTTTAGAGTTAACCACTTTATTGCGCATCTCTATAATATCTGTAGTCATGCAAAAAGCACGAACATTTGAGAAAATGTGCATCACTTTTTTTTATGTTTACATCAAAATTTGAAAAAGTATGCATCACAGATGTTTGATTTACTATCATCCCTAAAACCTTTAAATTTCCACAATTCAATGTATACATCAAATTTAAGAAATCTGTACTTTTGCGTACTTTTGTGTTCTTTTACCAATCTACTATTTTTTTTCCAATTGAATTACAATTAGTAAATCTAGGTTGAAGTTGTTAATTTTGTGAATTTTTTTAATTAACTTGTAACTTACTGAATTACTTGACAAGTATGCGTTTTGCACTTTGTATAATACTTGTAAGTATTTTACATTCTGATTGTATAATTTATGTGTTCAATTTCCTTCCAGTATATGAGATACAAGCATATCTAATTTATTTAGTCTTCAACAGAACTCCTTAGAAATGTCTTTTATTTTACGATTTTCAATAGACGGAACGCTTATGGGCAGGATAACTGCTTTCTGAGTATGGGCTAGTTATATTTCCGAGTATCTCCTCCACTGGATAGACACGACGGTAATGGTTTTTCGCAGGAACGCGAAGCTCACTCTCGCAGCGACTTCTGAGCTGAGCCCGAAGGGTGTGAGATGGAGATTACGAGCAGCGTTCATAATTTAGTCCAATTTCATATAATTGCCGGAGAGTGGGATGTCCCGCTCGGAGAGTCCATAAAACGGGCTGAAGAATGAATGCAGATCGCAGTGCGCAGATAATGAGAACAATAATTACACGCGAAGTGGCCAACGATCCTGCATCCTTGTTAGTAGTACTGCAAGTCTTAGAGAAGGAGCGAATAGACGCGAAATAAATAGCCCATCCACCCACACCCACACGTCCATTTTTAAATCCAGTCAAACAAAAACGCGCCACGGTTCGTTCACACCGAAAACCTGAAATCCCGGCGGAGGCGGCCGACCTGGTGTGAAAATTGAATCAAACCAAGAGAAAAGGAAAACAAATAAATATTACATAAACATAGAAATAAATATGCAGGAATAGATTTGAACTCATGTGGAGAAGTGAGAGAAGTTACATCATGCAAAGAGCTTCATGAATCTCAACTCAACATTTTCATTAAAATAAATTTTACAAACATTGTCTTTAATAATTAGAAATGTCTAATATTTATAATTATAAGACGAAATGACGTTTTTAAAATAAAAACGTATACATTCACCACGAATAACTTTGTGGTTAAAGATTACGTTTTATATAAACCTAATAACAAATACTGTTACTACACTTGCTAAATATATGTTAAATGTGTAATGTAACAATCATCACGTTCTTTTGTTATTCATTTCTTAGAAAGTATTCTAACGAAATATTATTAATCATTAAATCATGAAAAGATTACAATATGAATAATCACTTTGTTTTTAACTTTGTTTCATATTCAATATGTATTTGTTATTATTATAGCAATTTCATAAATTCTAAATTTTACAAAAAAATCCTGTAAAGCCATATTAATAATATTTTCTTAATGCAACAGCTTTACAAAACTCAGAAATAAACAAAAATGCAAAAGGACAATTTTGTTTCTATTTTTATCATAGTTTGGTAAATGTGTATTTAAAGAAGACAAGAGTTCTGATTATATTACGTAACGAGCGCTCCATTTTCTTTTTTTTGTCTATTTCATAGTTCCTCGCTTTCAGTGAAGTAAATCTGAAAATATTCCGCTCCATTGGTATAGTGCACAAGTCTGGTAGTGTGTATATACTGTGTATGTCCTATCCACATCCACAGGCTGTGGTCCGGTCTGCCTTTTGCTGCTCTGGCATTGAAATCAAGTTCATCACGTTTTTACTATATGGGCCTCCGTCGAGCTCCTCGGTGCGAGGGGCAAGGAAATCGGCGAAAAATAGCAATCACCAGGGACGAAAATAGCGGAGCCTCCTCACTCCTCGCAAACAGATGGCCATGCAAATAAATATCCTACATACATGATCCTATCCTACACATCCCATGCACATACATACACGCACATAATTTTTTTTTTCACTTCAATACATCCGAATCACTTTGAAATTGATTTCGGAATTTAGCGAAAGCAATAATGCAACGACGGAGGGGCAAAAATAAATAAATAGATAAATAAATGAATGAATACAAAAAAAAATATATATATGGGCAAACATGTTTCGCACGTGAACATCCTTGGGAGGATTTCATATTTTTCGCATACCTCTTTCGCAGAAGACGCAGTACCACAAAAGATACCGATCGCGGCTCAATGTTCGTGCCATCAGTAGTTTATTTAACGTGCACACTCCTATATGTTTCTAAATATAATTAAATGTACCTTTTGATCTTCTTTTTTTCAGAAGTATCAGTGGTGGTACGAACAACGTTTCTTTAATGTGCTCACAACTTAATGCACAAACTAAATTCAGATATAAATGATCTTAAAACAACTTTAAATACATACACTGTAAAATCGTAAAAGTATTTATATAATTCTACAAAATAATAATAATATTTTTAGCTTCAAACATTTTTCATTTTTTGACAAATTACACTTTAGTTAATCACTTTGTCATAAACACATTAATAGTAACAAAATGTAGATATTGTTTAATGTATTGTTTAATATTTCTTATAAAGATTTGAACTTTTTTTTTTACAGTTTTAGGCATAATTTAAGACTATTTCATCTTCAATATTTTTAAAGTATTTACTATAATATCAATAAGTAAAAAAAATGATATTTTTTTAGTAAAATTTATCATTTTTTTATAATTAACAGAAGTATTTCTAAGGATAATTTAAATTTAAAAACTTTTTACATTTTTAAAATGTTTTCATAATTATTTTTTTATATAAATATATGTCTATATGTAACAATTATTTTTTTTGAAAATATTTAATTAATATAACAAATATATCTATAATAAAATGATTAAATCATTTATATAATCTTCATATTATCTTAAATAAAAACGTATTTTTATTACTGATTCATATTAATTTAAAAAAATAAATATAGTCTCTTTAAAGCTTATTGATAATAAATTAATT